GAGGTGTGAATTTATTTCTGTGTTCTCTATTTTGTTCCCCTGGTCTATGTATCTGTTTTTATGCCAATACCATGTTGTTTTAGTTACTATAGCTCTGTAGCATAATTTGAAGTCAGGTAATGTGATTCCTCCAGTTTTGTTATTTTTGCTCATGATGACTTTGACTATTCTTGGTCTTTTATGGTTCCATATAAGTTTTAGGATTATTTTTTCTATTTCTGTGAAGAGTATCATTTGTATTTTGATGGGGATTGCATTGAATCTATAGATTACTTGAGGTGGTATAGACATTTTAATAATATTGATTCTTCCAATTAACAAGCATGGAATATCTTTCAATTTTTTGGTGTCCTTTTCAATCTCTTTCATCAATGTTCTAGAGTTTTCATTATAGAGATCTTTCACTTCTTTGGTTAAGTTATTCTTAGGTATTTTACTTTATCTGTAGCTATTGTAAATGGGATTACTTTCTTGGTTTCTTTTTCAGATTGTTTACTGTTGACATATAGAAATGCTGCTGATTTTTGTATGTTGATTTTGTATCATGCAACTTTACTAAATTTGTTTATAAGTTCTAATAGTTTTTTGTGGGGTCTTTAGGTTTCTGTAGATATAGTCTGCAAACAAGGATAATTTGACTTCTTCCTTTCCAATTTGGATGCGCTTCATTTCTTTCTTTTGTCCGACTGCTCTAGCTAGAATGTCTAGTACTGTGTTGAATAAAAGTGGTGAAAGTGGGCACCCTTGTCTTGTTCCAGATCTTAGAGGAAAGGCTTTCCATTTTTCCCCATTCGGTATGATACTTGCTGTGGGTCTGTCATATATAGCTTTTATCATGTTAAGGTAAGTTCCTTCAATACCCAATTTTTTGAGAGTTTTTGTCATGAAAGGATGTTGAATTTTATGGAATGCTTTTTCAACGTCATTTGAAATGATCATACTGTTTTTGTCCTTATTCTGTTGATATTATGTATTATATTGATTGATTTGTGTATGTTGAACCATTCTTGCATCCCTGGGATGAATCCTACTTGATCGTGATGAATAATCTTTTTAATGTGTTGTTGAATTCAGTTTGCTAGGATTTTGCTGAGGATTTTTGCATCTATGTCCATCAGAGATATTGGTTTTCTCTTTTTTGTTGTGTATTTGTCTGATTTTGGTATCAGGGTGATACAAGCCTTGTAGAATGAGGAGAAATATTCTTTCCTCCTCAATTTTTTGGAAGAGTTTAAGTAGGATCAGTATTTAGGAATTTATCCATTTCTTCTAGGTTTTCTACTTTATTAGCATATAGCTGCTCATAGTAGTTTCTAATGATCCTTTAGGAGCATATTGTTTAATTTCTGTGTTTGTATATTTTCCAGTGTTCCCCTTGTTATTGATTCTAGTTTTATTTCATTGTGGTCAGAGAAAATTCTTGGTATGATTTCTATTTTTTCCAGTTTTTTAAGACTCGTTTTGTAGCTTAACATATGGTCTGTCCTTGAGGATAACCCACGTGCTGAGGAGAACATGCATTCTGCAGCTGTTGGATGAAATGTTCTGTAAATATTAGGTCCATTTGGTCAATAGTGCAGGTTAAGTCCAGTGTTTCTTTGTTGATTTTCTGTCTGGATGATCTGTTCAATGCTGAAAGTGGAATATTGAGTTCTCCAACAATTATTCTATTGAGGTCTGTTTCTCTCTTTAGCTCTGATAATATTTGCTTTATATATCTGGGTGCTCCAGCATGGGGCACATGTTATGTTTAGAATTGTTATATCCTCTTGCTGAATTGACCACTTTATCATTATATAATGACCTTCTTTGTCTCTTTTTACAGTTTTTGTCTTGCTGTCTATTATCTGATAGAAGTATAGCTATTCCTGCTCTTTTTTGATTCCATTTGCATGGAATATCTTTTTTTATCCCTTTATTTTCAGCGTATGTGTGTCTTTATAAGTGAATCATGTCTCTTGCAGACAAAAGGTTGGCTCTTGTTTTGTTTTATCTTTTTAGCGAATGTATGTCTTTTGATTATAGAGTTTAGTCCGTTCACATTCAATGTTATTATTGGTAGGTAAGGACTTACTACTGCTATGTTATTACTTGATTTCTGCTTGTTTTGTGGTCTTTTTTTTCTTACTTACTTCCTATCTTCCTTTGTTAAAAGTGATTTTCTCTGGTAGTATGTTTTAATTTCTTGCTTTTTATTTTTTGTGTATCTGTTATAGGTTTTTTGATTTGAGGTTACCATGAGGCTTGCTAAATTTTATAACCAATTATTTTAAGCATGTGACAACTCTACTTACAAACAAAAACAAACAAGAAAAAAGAGATCTAATAGAAATTCTACCCTTTAACTCCATTTCCCTTATTCCCCAGTTTTTAACTTTTTGTTTCCATCCATATGTTTTTATACTATCTATCTTTCAAAAAGTCATTGTAGTTATTTTTGATACATTTGTCTTTTAGGCTTCCTACTCAAGATATAAGTGGTTTTTGCATCATGATTACAGCAATAGAATATTCTGAATTTGTGTACTTAATGTTACCAGTTAGTTATATACCTTCAGATGATTTGCTATCGTTCATTAACATCCTTTTAGATTGAAGAACTCCTTTTAGCATTTCTTGTAGGACAGGTCTGGTGTTGATGAAATCTCTCAGCCTCTGCTTGTCTGGGAAAGTCTTTATTTCTCTGTCATGTTTGAAGGATATTTTTGCAGAATGTAATATTCTAGGAGTAAGGGGGTTTTCTTTCAGCACTTTGAGTATGTCATGCCACTCTTTCCTGGACTGTAAGGTGTCCACTGAAAAGTCTGCTGCCAAACATACAAGAACTCCTTTATATGTTATTTTTTTCTTTTTTCTTGCTTCCCTTAGGATATTTTCTTTAACTGTGACCTTTGGGAGCTTTATTATTAAATGCTTTGAGGTAGTCTTATTTGGGTTAAATCTGCTTGATGTTCTATGACCTTGTTGTACCTGAATATTGATATCTTTCTCTAGGTTTGGAATGTTCTCTATTATTATTTCTTCGAATAACTTTTCTGTGCCAATCTCTTTCTCTACCTCCACTTTAAGGTCAATAACTCTGAGATTTTCCCTTTTGAGGCTATTTTCTAGATCTCAAAGGCATCTTTCATTCTTTTTTATTCTTTTTTCTCTCTGACTGTGTATTTTCAAATAACCTGTCTTCAGGCTCACTAATTCTTTTTACTGCTTGGTCAATTCTGCTGTTGATAGACTCTGATGCATTTCTCAGCTTGTCAATTGAATTCTTAAACTGCAGAACTTCTGCTTGGTTTTTTTTTTTTTAATTATTTAAATCTCTTCATTAAATTTCTCTGATAGGCTTCTGAATTCCTTCTTTTTGTTGTGTTGAAGTTCATTGAGCTTCTTCAGGACAGCTTGTTTTGAATTTTTTGTCTGAAAGGTTACATATCTCCATTGCTCCAGGATTGGTCACTCATATCTTATTTAGTTTGTTTGGTGAGGTCATGTTTTCCTGGGTGTTCTTGATACTTGTGGATGTTTGTCAATGTCTGGGCATTGACAAGTTAGAAATTTATTTTAATCTTCATAGTCAGGGCTTGTTTGAACCCATCCTTCTTGAGGAGGCTTTCCAGGTATTCAAAGGGAATTAAGTGTTGTGATCTAGGTCTTCGGTCACAGCAGCCACATCAGCACTGGGTGTGCCCTGAGCCCAGTAATGACTATTGCAGACTCCTGGTGGTTTTGCCTGGATGGACTTGAGTAAGATACAGGAGAATTCCCTGGATTTCCAGGCAAAGACTCTGACTCTCTTCCCTCACTCTCTGTGCTGGGCTGCTGGAGTTGGGGGAGGAGTGATGTGAGCACCCTCTTATGGCCCACGTCACTCCTCCCCCAACTTGAAGCCAGCCCAGTCTCACTCAAAACCCATGCTGACTGATGTCTGTCTACCACTGATGTTTATTCAAAGCCCAAGTGCTCTTTACTCAGCAGATGGTAAATCCTGCCAGGACTAGTTCCTTCCCTTCAGGATAGCATGTTTCCTTCTGGCCCAGGGTGGGTGTAGAAATGCCTTCCAGTAACTAAGGCCTGGACTCAGGGACTTCACAAACCCATTTAGTACTTTATTTTACTGTGCCTGAACTGGTACCCAAGTTGCCGAACAAAGTCCTCTGAACTTTTCCTTTTCCTTTCCCCCAATTGTAAAAAGACTTCCCTGAGTCACACTGCCTGTAGTTGGCTGAGGGGTGACATAGACACTGTTTTGGCCACCACTGCTGGTGTCTCACTGGGTCATGTGCACCCCAAGTCCACTGGCTCTTTGTACGGCCTTTGTGGCCTAACTGCCTTATGAATTTAGTCCAGGCCCCAGGCTGCTCTTTATCAGCCAGTGGTGGGGCTAACCAGAACTCAGGTTTGGGGGCAGAGGATTTCCTTCTGGCAGGGCTGGTCTAAATGCTCCCTCCATGGACACCAGCAGAATTCTGCTCTGTGCTGTGTTCCCCTGTGCCAGGGTGGCCCTGAGTTTCAATGCAAAATCCCACAATCACTTCCCTCTCCCTCCCCTGGGCACACAGATTCTCTTTCCACTCTCCGAGCTGGCACAGCACTGCCAGAGGATGGGGAAGGGGTGGTGTAGGCAATGCAAGATTGTCTTTTCTGCCCTCTTCAGTGCCTCTTTCCTTGATAAAATATTAAAACCAGGTAGTATGATCGCTCACTTGATTTTTGGTTCTTCTGATAGTGCTTGCTTGCATGGATAGTTGTTGAATTAAGTATATGTGCAGAGGGACAATCGCTGGAGGTTTCTGTTTGGCCATCTTGCTCTGCCCCCTTTCCAGATTTCTATGTTTTAAGAGCTATATAATCATATAACCTCTTAGATGACATGGTGAGGTTTAACTGTAATGACGAGGACATGTTGTTTTGTTTCTAAGACCTTGGCAGACCGCACAGTTGCTCCAGTTTTCTATTTGGGGTTATCCTCTAAACCTGTTTGTTCCTTCCCTTTTTTTCTCCAGGACTGCCCACCAGAATCAGGTGATTTCCGAGCTCAGCAATGCTCTGCTCATAATGATGTCAAGCACCATGGCCAGTTTTACGAATGGCTTCCTGTGTCTAATGACCCTGACAACCCATGTTCACTCAAGTGCCAAGCAAAAGGAACAGCCTTGGTTGTTGAACTAGCACCTAAGGTCTTAGATGGAACTCGTTGCTATACAGAATCTTTGGATATGTGCATCAGTGGTTTATGCCAAGTAAGTGCTGATTTCTTTTCATTCAATTTGTCCAGAGAGTTTTAGTATCTTTGTGTAAATAGTTTTTGCATATTCCCACTATCTGGATCTCTCATTTTTATGCTTTCTTGAGTTTATAAATGATGAAAATTTTAAAAATTGAGGTTAAACTTCAGTGAAAAGTACAAGTGTTGTATTTTGTGTTAAGGAAAAGTGGACTAGAGTGTTTTTTTTTCCTTTCCTTGAGTGTCGCTTGCATATGGAAGAATAAAAATTCTTGAATATTATGTATCAATTATGCACTAGACTTTGAAATTACTCCTTGCTTGGTTGTTCCTGAAATGCGTGTGTGTGTGTGTGTGTGTGTGTGTGTGTGTGTGTGTGTGTGTGTATTTGGAGGCCTTGATTTTTATTTACATAGCACTTTCAGAATAACTCAGGTGAGACCAATTCTAAAATCCCTAAGTAAACTGTAGGAGAACTTGTTGTTTCTTTACTGTAATTCCCACTGTATCGAAAATTCAGACAAACTGTAGAGAAAGACATGGCAGTGTCAACTAGGTTGGGTTTGACTCAGGTGAATCTTTAAAACAGGATAGCAAAGAGGTTTGATTTCTGATATCCATTGGTCAATGTCTACTTTATGTAGCAAAGTTAGCGAGGCAAGTAAGAGAATATTTGCCAAGTCTTTGCCACCTTCATTTTAAGGTTCACTTTTTTTTTTTTTTTTTTTTTGAGACAGAGTCTCACTCTGTTGTCCTGGCTCGAGTGAGTGCTGTGGTGTTAGCCTAGCTCACAGCAACCTCAAACTCCTGGGCTCAAGCAATCCTTCTGCCTCAGCCTCCCGAGTAGCTGGGACTACAGGCATGTGCCACCATGCCCAGCAAATTTTTTCTATATATTTTTAGTTGTCCAGATAATTTCTTTCTATGTTTTCAGTAGAGACGGGGTCTCACTCTTGCTCAGGCTGGTCTCGAACTCCTGAGCTCAAACAATCCACCACCTCGGCCTCCCAGAGTGCTAGGATTACAGGCGTGAGCCACCGTGCCCGGCCTAAGGTCCACTTTTTAGATTCGGATGACCAGACTAGTTTTTGGAGCAAGCAGTTGCTATCATTTTTCTATGTGCTATTCTTGACCATATACTTTTATATTTCACAAAGTAGACACAAAATTTTGAGATTTGCCTTTCCCAAGATATTGGCTGAAATTTTCTCTCTTCAGAATCTGCACTATCACAGGTAGCACCATAAGAGAAATATAAAATATGTCTTAGTAATTTGTTGTTTAATATTCATATGTTTATTGAAATCTGAAATCTATATTCTGATGTAAAAGGAAAAACTGTAGTATAAATTACTACAAGAAATATGAGATGTCAAGCAAGGTTTTACATATATAAGAGGGAAACAGACATTAAACCTTCATAAAGTTTAGACTCTTGAGACAGGGAAAAACTAGTGTCAGGAGAATGGAGATTATATATTTATATATGTATATGTTTTTTATATACAGGAGATATATGAATTCCTGATGTAAATTTGAATATGGAATTTTATTCTTTTAAACCTAGAAAGAGCCTTAGAGTTTACTCAGTCAACATCCTAAAAAGCAATATAGTTGAACAACATTATCTGTGATATCTGATATTTACCTCCTCCTTTAGGGCTGTCAGCAGTGTTGAAGTGGAATTATGCAGTCTGTAAAAGCTTCAGTAATAGTAGAGAATTATAAAGCAAATAGATACAGAAAAAGGGCTGTGTTGTAGGGAGCGGCAAAAAAAAGAATAATAATGCCTTCTATATGTACCCTGTTTGAGTGAAGCAAAAAAGATTTCTGTTTTGTCAGTGAAAAAAACTGAAGACCAGAAAATGTGCATGATCTTCTGAAAGTTGTATGGTTGGTCATGGCAGAAACGAGACTAAATTCCAGGTCTCCTGAGATCCAGCCCAGTGTTGTTTCTACTATATTACCGTGCTGAATGAACCAAAATAAACAAGACAGGTCAGCAAATTAGGTTTCATTTGTTTCTGTTGCATGGCAGTTCAACGTGGCATATTTTTTCCTAAGCTAGTCCTGCCAGTTGGCCTCATGTACCTTGGCAGCTGAAAGAGAATCCTATCTCAGCAGCCAAAGAATAAATTTCATATATAGCATATATGGAGTGATAGTGCTGGACTTTGGGTTACAGTGTACACATGCCTTAACTTAGGTTCTCATGAGTGACTTGTTTGATTTGGAAACAAATGTAAATTATACTGTATTTGAAAAGCATTGTGACTTATACATAGAAATTATGACTGGTATTATTTTCCTCATTTATTTGTCTTGTTAGAGGCAGTGGTGTGGTAGAGGTGATGGAAAAACTCAGACTGCATTTAAGTACTAACAAGTAATTTAGTTTGGCTGGAGAGCAGGGTAAGCCCCAGATAGATATGCAGTAAGGAGAAAGAGGTAGTTTGGGAGAAAATCGTGAAGGCTTGAATGGTGGATAGGACTATGGTAAACAGGGGGCGACCAAGAAAGTTTTAGTGGCGAAAAGACATAATCAGGGCTCTGCTTTAGAAAGATTGTTATAGCTGCAGTTATAGGAAGCTCAAAGTGGAAGTCTCTGGAGACAGAGACAGCTAAAACAGAGGCTCTTACAGTAGCCAGAGTGAGGCTGGGCCAGTACAGGGACAGCAGGAACAGAACAGAGACTGAGTCTAAAACCAGGAAGGAGTTTTCATTTTGATTATAACCAGGGCAGAGGGTGTAAAGCAATAAATCAAATCAGTCATGCTGAGAGAATCGAAAGCTGCAACTTAATATGGATTTGTAAAGATGTATTATAATTTTGTATCCTTTCTACCACTACCCTCTTAGTCTGCATTTTCATAACTAAAACCCACTTAAATTTTATAAAACGATTGGAGAAATAGAGGATGACAAGATAGAGGAATAAAGATGGAATACTTAAATGCAGTATGTACTTTTTCAGAAGGACCAGAGTGAAGTTAGTCATGAAAAGAAAAGTTGAAGCACTTACTGCTACCTCAAAAGAGAGTTTAAATATATAAATTTCATTTTACTTAGACAAAAATTCTTTATTTAGGTTGCATCTGTATATTGGTGATTAATATTTTCAGTCTTTGGTAAGAAATATTAAGAAAAATCCTTATTTTCATGTTTTTTGAAACATACGAATCTTAATGCCTACTTAAATGTACAGTTTTTATAAACAGCTTCTCCTAGTTTCCTGAAAAAATCATTTCCCCTGCCTTATTTTTCTTTTCTACCCCATTGGTTGGAGATTCTTAGATTTTTTTCTGACTTTATTTTTGTCCTATTATAATTTTTCTGCTTTTTTGGTAAACTGTTTCAAATATTTTTGAGCTTAGGTAGATATAAATTAGCAACTGTAAAAATGCAAATATTTGGATTTGGACATAGTCTGCCCCTGATAGAAAATGACAGCAGAGCTGTAGAGATTTGACTTTCATACACACCAATTTATTTCAGTTATACTCATTTAATACTCTACTACGGGCCACATTCTTGAAACTGTTTGGGCCTTTAACTCTTAAATAGAACCGTAGAGTTCTAGGCTTTTTAGACCCAGATAATAGCTTAGAAGTGAACAGATATTGCTGTTTCACAGAGGAGAAAACTAAGACCTGGAGACTGTCCCAAGATCATACATAAGTGGGTTATCAGTATTTGTTGTAAATTTGCTTCAGGAAAATTCTAGAATCTTTGCTATTTATAAAGTATACCTTATTCATACTTGGTAATAACAGAGCATCATACTAGGTAATATATTTAGTAGTAGTAGTAATGATAATAGCTTCCATTTTAGAGTGACTATCATATATCTAAGCACTTTACATGTATTTTTTGAAATATTTACAACTCTGCACATTAGACATAATTATGCTCATTTCAAAGATGAAGAAACTGAGGCTCAGGTAGATTATATGACTTTCCCAGGGATACCCAGTTCTCTCTGACTCCAAAACTCCCATTCCTTTCGGTGAGACCAGGTGAACAGAGGCAGGTACCATTTGGCAGTAGTCCTCAAATTTGCTGCAAACCAGAATCACCTGGAAATCTCTTAAAGGACACAACTCTTAGTCCCCCAGAAATCCATATTTATTAGTTCTATGTACATACATACCAGTATTAGTAGTATACCCAAGTTTTTTCTTGTCTTTATCTTTTTCCTTCTTGTGGCCTTTCTGAGTGCATGGTTCAGTATGGTTATACATACAAAATGGATACTGACTTTCCAGTGAATGAGCAGACCTTCTGTTAATTTTCCATTGCAGCCATCTTTTGCTAATAGCTCCACGTTGTACCATTATCAACTCCTGATCCAGGGCAGCGAATTGCATCCTGTACAGAGTTAATGAGCCATCACAAATAGGATCAGCTCTATTAGTACTGCTGTTATTCATTTATTTTCATTATCCAAATTACCCCATTTATATTTGTTGTAAAGTACAAAGCCGGTTTCTGTTTTAAACATATTTTTAAAAGAGTAGCATAAATTTACAGATAGAACATGTGCTGATATTAAAAGTAATTTTGAGATTATTTTGAAAACCAATAGAGAAAAGTATGTTTAATTTTCATAATTAATGGAATTCATTGGCTGGTACCTAATATATGCACATCAAAAGAAAAAGTGTGATTACAAACAAGACCTTTATAATAAATCTGCATATATATATAATATTGCTTATTGCTATTTCAGAAAATAAAGTATGTCAAAAAGGAAAAGGAAAATTCCTTTCAAGTCATGCCTTATATAATATTGTTTTAAAATTTATAATACAGTACAAAAATAAGCAATAAATTGGATCATGGAGTTTTGATGTCTATAATTTACTCTGGCAACATTAAAATGAACCGTATTTCTAACAAAGAAGTTCTTTTCATTTTTAATAATTCCTGTGGTGAGTAGTTTGAAATGAATTGAATGGAATGATTATTTCTCCATCTCTGTCTGTGACCTAAGTCACTAGTATCAAATGTCTACCA